ATATTGTCTAAATCAGAGGCACGTGCATCCTTCCTTAAATCATTTCCCAGCAGTGGCTGAGCTCAGTGTTCCTGGGATAGATGGAGATAGAGATTGAGAGCACAACACTGCGCATGCATGGCTTTTGGAACAGGAAGTGTGCTCGCTCCTGTAAAGTTAGATGGCTGCTGTGTGTGTCCTCAAATTAACACAGCTGTCAGCAATAGAGTGTTTGGGCCAGGCTGCATTGGGGACAGAAATGGCCAACTGGTATAGCATCTGCTTCTACCTATATATTTCAAAAAAATTGTGCAGTGCCTACTTACTGTGCTGTGCCAGGACAAGGTCATCCAGTGCCCAGGCCGAAGATGGAGAAACTGTGCCCCTAAAACCCCATAACCTCCTGAGTAACTGGTGTCAATGAAAAAAAATGGCCCTGTAATGGTGGTGTCACTAGAAGGGAAAAATGTCCTTGCTTTGGAGGTGTCACTTAAAGGAAAAAACTCCCCTGGTTTGGTGGTGTCCTGAAAGAAAAAATGTCTCTGCATTGGTGGTGTCACTGAAAGGAACAATGTCCCTGTGTTGGTGGTATTGGTGTTAGTGGTGATGTCACTGGAATTAAAAAAATCCCTGCATTGGAGGTATCACTGAAAGGAACAAGGATGCACTTAGACTCAGAAAAAGGCCAACACTATTTTACTTTTAATACTAAAAGTAAAAATGTCCCTGCATTGGAGATGTCACTGGAATGATAAAAAGTCCCTGCCTTGGTGGTGTCACTGAAAGGAAACTTATCCTTATGGTTATTATAGTACTGGTTGGTCCTAGCAGCGGGATTCTGCTTTGTTAGAGAGAGATACTTCTATGTTAGAGAGACACTGCTCTGTTAGAAAGACTCTGTCCTATTAGAGAGACTGCTCTGTTAGAGAGAGAGCGAGAGACTGCTTGATAAATTTAGTCTGGTTCCTCTGTAGTCAGTAGAGCGGTTGCTGATTGCTTTAGCCTGCTAAGTGCTTCACATGCTGCTGGTCTTATTACTTCCCCCTGCATTCTAGAGGGTTCTGGAATCACAGTGTGAGGAAAGACAGAAGGGCAGTCTGAATATTTACTGGTCCCCAGCCAATCCCTGGGGAGGTATGCCCAGTAGGTGGCAAGGGAGCCCATATATAGCCTTGGAGCAAGAGTTGAGTTGGGCCTGGGTCCAGTGCTGCAGGAGGAGTCCCTAGCCTGAGGAGGTTCTTCCCCGAAGGCCAATTTGCTGGAATGGTGCTGTATGCTCAATGAGGTCCCACCTGTAGCACAGCTGGGGCGTTTATATGAACTGTTTCTTCTGGGACCTTGCTCTGGAGAGCTCACTGAAGAGTGTCCGGTGGAAGTTGGAAGAAGATGTCCAGCTGTCGTGTGCCTTTGTGAGCCCTATTTCTCCCTCACTGAAGAGTGCCGATGGATATCAGAAGGAGGCAGCTGGTGATCCTGTGGCATGGCGAGTACAGACCTGAGCTCAGAGCCCTAGTGTCTGTGTGCAGCTTCTCCTTTCTTCATAAGGCCCTTGTAATTGTTCAGTCAGTGGTGGCCCTTATGAGAACTTGACTTTATGGAGAAGTGTGCTCTTGTTACTCAGTGATCCTGGGGTATCCCATGCTTCTACAAAAAACCCACAAGAAAGAGAGGATACAGCACCTCAATGGATAATGAACAGGATATGTTTATTGGACGTAAAAACTGACAATGCACATCCCATACATTCCCTCCCCCCACTGCCCGCCTAAACACTGGCCCCCACCCCTAAAGAAGGAACAGTCCCACCCCAGCAAAATCCTCCTCCTCCACCCCCCAGGACACCCTCAACCCCCATATCATTCCATGCTTCCCCTCAGACTTCTACAGAAATAATGAGCATAAAAGACAACCTCTCTACTTTATATTGAGCCAGAGAGAGAGGAAATGATGTGTTGCCTGACTGACTCTGCACTAATTCTGGGAAAGAACTGGTTAACTTAAGCAGCTCCTACAGGGGTAGCTCTACACTTCTATGCTAGAGAGACTATGCTCTGCTAGAAGGAAAGATATTGTCCTGTTGAGATACTTCTAAGTTAGGCTACATTCACACTAGCGTTGTGTGCAGGCGGCAGAGAGGCGTTTGGGAAGCGTTTTTACCGTTTCCCAAACGCCTCTGCCAATTCTGCACATTACAGCACATGGTGCTGTTCTAATGGGAGCATTTTGCGTCTCGTCGTGTTGCGTCGTGGCAAAATGGATGCCTCTGGTCGAGTCAGGAAGCTTTGAAGCCTCCTATTCTCGTCTATGGTGCCGCTCCGCAAACGCCCGGCCGGCGTTTGCGCTGCGGTTGCGACGCGGTTGCGGGGCGTTTGCAGAGCGGTAACACCACTCAAACTGCATTATAGGCGTTTGTGGGGCGTTATTAACGCTTGGCAAACGCCTAGCAACCGCCGCTAAACCGCGCATGCAGCGTTTGTGGAGCGTTTGCCGAGCGTTAAAAAACGCTCTGCAAGCGCCGGACCAACGCTTGCCAACCGCTATAGGGGCGTTTGGCAAGCGTTGGTAAAACAGCCAAGTGTGAACGAGCCCTTAGAGAGACACTGCTGTGTTGGTAAGAGCCCAGCCTGGACAGTAAGCCCCTGAGCAGATATCAACACCATCTGGAAGTAATATTTTAGGTTTTAGTCTTTCAGGTTTTTTTTAGAAAGTGTTTGACAGAAACTTAGTAGGTACTTGAAATTCACCCTGGGAAATGTGGCCGGAACATGAGCACTTAATGAATATAAACATGGCAGAAATGGATATAAATCTGTCCTGCGACAAAACTAAAGCTACGGAAGGACATAAGTGGTTTGACCGCAGGACCATGCACCACTGAACACTAACAGAAGGATGTGGTACAACACAGACAAACCTGTTTCCTTACCGTCATGGAGATGAATAGGTTAATGCCTAGCAGATGACCCCAAGCTCTCCAGAGAAGCCATTATCTCCACCAAGCTAATCAACCCTCACCCTGAGAAAGATCAACCAAGGAATGTCCACCTACAGATACACAAATGTTCTCCATTCCAATCCAATGTCTATAGGCAATGCAAGAAGGTACAGTCGAAACACTAGAGGGTCTGTTATAAAGCACAAAATATCAGATTTGCCCAAGATTTACCATACATATAGTTACATAGTTAGTCTGGCTGAAATAAGACAAAAGTCCATCCAGTTCAACCATAGAAAAAAAAAAAAAAAAAAAAAAAAAGTTATAATCCTACACCCACAGTTAATCCAGAGGAAGGCAAAATACCCAGCAAAGCATGATCCAATTTGCTCCTGCAGGGGAAAAATTTGCTTCCTGATCCCCCGAGAGGCAATCAGATATTCCTTATATCAACTGTACCTATAAATGTTATATTCGGTTATATTCTGTGTATCCAAGAAAGAATCCAGGACTTTCCTACAGCAATCCACTGAGCTGGCCACAACCAACTCTTGAGGGAGTCTATTCCACATTTTCATAGCTCTCACTGTGAAGAAACCATTCCGTGTTTGGAGATTAAATCTCATTTCCTCCAGACATAAAGAGTGCCCCCTTGTCCTCTGTGATGACCTCAGGGTGAATGATTCTACACCAAGTTCACTATATGAACCACTGATGTATGTATACATATTGATCATATCCCCCCTTATGTATTATACATGGATATCATATCCCCCCCTTATGTATTATACATGGAGATCATATCCCCCCTTATGTATTATACATGGAGATCATATCCCCCCCCCCTTATGTATTATACATGGTGATCATACCCCCCTTATGTATTATACATGGAGATCATATCCCCCCTTATGTATTATACATGGAGATCATATCCCCCCCTTATGTATTATACATGGAGATCATATCCCCCCTTATGTATTATACATGGAGATCATATCCCCCCTTATGTATTATACATGGAGATCATATCCCCCCTTAATCTCCTCTTCTTCTCAAGAGAGAATAAATTCAGTTCCTCTAATCTTTCCTCATAGCTGAGCTCCTCCATGCCTCTTATCAGTTTGGTTGCCCTTCTCTGTACTTCCTCCAGTTCCCCAATGTTCTTTTTGTGAATTGGTTCCCAAAATTGAACTGCATATTCCAGATGAGGTCTTACTAATGATTTGTAAGGAGGTAATATGATATCTCTCTCTGGAGTCTATACCTCTTTTAATACAAAAGAGGATTTTGCTTGCTTTAGAACCCGCAGCTTGGCATTGCATGCCATTATTAAGCTTCTCCCAGATCCTTCTCCACCATTGATCCCTCCCCCAAGTGTACCCCCCCCCCCCCTTGTATGTATGATGCATGCATATTTTAGCCCCCAAGTGCATAACCTTACATTTATCAACATTAAACCTCATTTCCCACATAGTTGCCCAATTACACAGAGCATTGAGGTCGGCTTGTAAGTTGGAGACATCCTGTAAGGACGTCATTCCACAGCACAGCTTGGTGTCATCTGCAAAGACTAGAATGGGATTTTTGATCCCAGACCCTATATTGTTTATAAAGTATATTAAAAAGTAAGGGTCCCAACACTGAACCTTGGGGTACACCACTGACAACCCTAGACCATTCAGAGTATGAATCATTAACCACTACTCTCTGAATACAATCTTTTAGCCGGTTTTCTATTCATTTCCATACAGATTTTTCCAAGCCCGTAGACTTTACCTTAGCCGTGTGTGGAGAACTGTGTCAAACACTTTTGCAAAATCCAAGTATACCACGTCCACTGCCGCCCCTTTTCACCAAGTATACCACGTCCACTGCCACCCCTCTGTCCAAGTATACGGTGTCCACTGCCACCCCTCTGTCCATGTATACCACGTCCATCGCCACCCCTCTGTCCAAGTACACCATGTCCACTGCCACCCCTCTGTCCAAGTATACCACGTCCACTGCCACCCCTCTGTCCAAGTATACCACGTCCACTGCCACCCCTCTGTCCAAGTATACCATGTCTACTGCCACCCCCTCTGTCCAAGTATACCATGTCCACTGCCACCCCTCTGTCCAAGTATACCACATCCACCGCCACCCCTCTGTCCAAGTATACCACGTCCACTGCCACCCCTCTGTCCAAGTATACCACGTCCACTGCCACCCCTCTGTCCAAGTATACCACATCCCACCGCCACCCCTCTGTCCAAGTATACCATGTCCACTGCCACCTCTCTGTCCAAGTACACCACATCCACCGCCACCCCTCTGTCCAAGTATGCCACATCCACCGCCACCCCTCTGTCCAAGTATACCACATCCACCGCCACCCCTCTGTCCAAGTATACCATGTCCACTGCCACCTCTCTGTCCAAGTACACCACATCCACCGCCACCCCTCTGTCCAAGTATACCACGTCCACCGCCACCCCTCTGTCCAAGTATACCACATTCACCACCACGCCTCTGTCCAATTATACTCTGTCCACCATCATCCCTCTGTCCAAGGTTTTGTTCACCTCCTCATAAAAATAAATCAGATTTGTTTGACTTCTGTCTTTCATGAATCTATGCTGTCTGTTGCTTAAAATATTTTTTCCAGCAAGAACTCATCTATGTAGTCTTTTATTAAACTCTCCAGTATCTACCCAACTATAGAAGTTAAACTAACAGCTAACAACATACATTTTGTAAAGAATTATTGTTCTTTCTGAGGGAAATCCAGGAGTAAAAAGGGGAGTAGGAAAGAAAAAAGTAGATATGGATTAGTGATGTGGAAGAAGAAGAGGTACATTTCTTGGTTCGTTACATTTGCATGATTGATCCCAGTTTGCGCAGTTGTTAGTCGTTTAGCGTTTTCATTTATAAAGAGAAAAAAAAGCACTGATTGATGTCTATGCTTAGTTACCTGTGTTATACACCATAGTAAGAGAGCTGTGAGTCAGGAAACGGAAAGAGTGGAATGGGAGGCCAAGGCCCTTCGAGGCACAGAGAGAAAATGTATGAAAAGGAAAATGTTACAAGATGTGTCCTTTAAAGCTGAGCTCCTGGCAAGCAGCTAAATACACCTTTGAAATAAATGTCTGTGAAGGTTCTCATTTATCCAAGTCATGGTACATCTAATTGTAGTAATCACATTCAACTGGACTTGTTCTGTAATGTGTTGAAGACATTTTGTAGCTTTTCTGAGCTACTTCTTCAGTTCCTGTGAGTGACACGAAGATACCCCCAACATTTTTATTCACACAGGTAGACCAGACACCTCAATTCAATCACCATAAAACAGCCTTTCCCAACTAGGGTTCTGTGGGATACTAAGGTTCCTCCAGGGGTTGCTAAAGGCTCCTTGAGCATTGGAGAAATTCTGTCTCTCAGTTAAGTTACCAGTGATCTGTAAGGGGGGCATTCCTTCCACTGACCACTAATGTAAGGAACATGTATCCCACCAACCACCAACTTATAAGGAATTCTTCCCACTGAGCACCAATGTAAGGGGTATTCTGACCACAAATGTAAGGTGCATTCTTCCCACTGACCACCAATGTAAGGTGCATTCTTCCCACTGACCACCAATGTAAAGACCTTTCTTATCACTAACTACCAATGTATGGGGCATTGTTCTCACTGTATAGCAATGCAAGAAGCATTTTTCTCACCACTGATTCACTGATCACCATTGTAAGGGAGCATTCTTCCCCACTGATCACCAATTTATGAAGCATTCTTCCCACTGATTACCAATGTAAGGGACATTCTTCCCACTGACCACCAATGTAAGGGACATTCTTCCCACTGACCACCAATGTAAGGAGCATTCCTCCCACTGATCACCAATGTAAGGGACATTCTTCCCACTGATCACCAATGTAAGGAGCATTCTTCCCACTGACCAACAATGTAAGGAGCATTCTTATCACTAACTACCAATGTAAGGAGCATTCTTCCCACTGACCCCCAATGTAAGGAGCATTCTTCCCACTGATCACCAATGTAAGGGACATTCTTCCCACTGACACCAATATAAGGAGCATTCTTCCCACTGACCACCAATGTAAGGAGCATTCTTCCCACTGATCACCAATGTAAGGGGCATTCTTCCCACTGACCCCCAATGTAAGGAGCATTCTTCCCACTGATCACCAATGTAAGGAGCATTCTTCCCACTGACCACCAATGTAAGGAGCATTCTTCCCACTGACCCCCCAACGTAAGGAGCATTCTTCCCACTGACCCCCCAATGTAAGGAGCATTCTTCCCACTGATCACCAATGTAAGGAGCATTCTTCCCACTGACCCCCCAATGTAAGGAACATTCTTCCCACTGATCACCAATGTAAGGAGCATTCTTCCCACTGACCCCCCAATGTAAGGAACATTCTTCCCACTGACCACCAATGTAAGGAGCATTCTTCCCACTGACCCCCCAATGTAAGGGACATTCTTCCCACTGACCCCCCAATGTAAGGAGCATTCTTCCCACTGACCCCCCAATGTAAGGGACATTCTTCCCACTGACCCCCCAATGTAAGGAGCATTCTTCCCACTGACCCCCCAATGTAAGGAGCATTCTTCCCACTGACCAACAATATAAAGAGCATTCTTATCACTAACTACCAATGTAAGGAGCATTCTTCCCACTGATCACAAATTTATGGAGCATTCTTCCCACTGACTAACAATGCAAGAAGCATTCTTATCACTAACTACCAATGTAAGGAGCATTCTTCCCTCTGACCACCAACACGAGGAGCATTCTCCTCACTGACCACCAGTGTAATGGGACTTTTCTCCACCAATCACCAATCTAAGTGTGCCCTTCTGCACTAACCACTGATGTAAGCGAGGGCTTCGATGATCACCAATGTGAGGTAGCACTACAATTTTCAGAGTTATTTTTTTAATTTCTTTGTATATCCACGTGTTAATGTTTTTTGAACTGTAGATATATTCATTATAAGCAGGGGTTCCTCAAGACCTGAAAGTTAAAGTAGTATTAAAGTTTAAACTTGAAGTTAATGCATTCTCTGCATTAAGGTAAAAAAGCCCCACTACCAGTCCTACCACCCTCCTTCCTGAAGCACTTCCCTGCCTCCATGTCACTTCTCCCAATCTGTCTCAGCTGCAACTTCAAACTGGTGACACTGGAGCCATAAGCACCGTCCACACAATCAGAAATCATGGAAAAAAAATGCCGTTTTCAAAACAATCGTCCGATAATCTGATCGTTAGTACATAGCAAGCGTCCGAAATTACTCGAAGGGACAAGCACGAAAATTTGCGTCATACGATACCAGATTGTACGATTTTTGGTTAACCATTACAGTTTTCCGCCGAAAAAAACAACACAAATACATTTCAGTACATCGCTTCTGAATTTGTATTCAGTCTTACAAGAATTTTCGGAACTTTAGTAACCTTTTCACTTTCGATATGAGGCTAGCATGCAAAAAAAATGGACAATCATTCCTCCAATATTCTCAACGTGTATACAGGGCGTTAGGCTCCTGTTGCCATCAGTCAAACTCCAGTGAGGTGGGAGCAAGGATTGTGGCCTATCAATGTTGTGTGTGTCTATGGATATACACAGTTTGCATCTGGACACAACAGAAGCCACACACACCTCCATAGCACCAAGCTTGTTACAGGAGAAATCCGGGGTAGAGGGGAGCCTACAGCCCACAAAGACTGCATAAATGGGAGGAAAGTTATATTTCTGTGCAATATCATTGCACAGAGAAGGTATTGTAGGTGTTACCTCTTTGTTTTATTTTTGTTTTTAAATCTGACTTATTTAAGCATGCCTCCATCTTAAAAAGGTTGAGAAAAATGTGCAGTGGTTGATTTGTCCAAAAACAAGAGGTGTGAAAATTGTTGACCTACCCTGTTCTAGTTACCTAATGCCATTCTTGATATCAGGAAGTTTGTGTAGGTGTTAGTCCTTCCATTCACATGGTTGAAGGTGTGATTTGTTAGCAAATCAATGCAGTTTAGTGTTTTTCCTAGCTAGACTTTCCCTGTTTCTTCTGTGTGCGCTCAGTGTTAGCACTTCACAAAAAGAGGTTTTAAGAAAGTCTTTGCCCTTGTACACGTCAAAGGACTGGAAGAACGTCCTTTGCACTGGAATTATCCACAGTAAAATCTCATTGGAATCAGCTGTGCTGTGTTGTATTGAAGAGTAAGGCTGCCTGAGCATGGTGCCAAGTCAGCAGGTGACCATAGTGTTTGGATAGACTTGATCTAAGGAGATATGTCAATGCATACAGTGCCACTTGAAACACTACACTCATCCAGTTGTGATCCCTGTAGTGGCCCTATTCAGTTTATGAGGACTCAGTAGGGGGATGTGGTAATGTATATAACTATCTGCTCAAAGGAGCATATAGGTTTTGAAATGAGCACACCACTAACACCAAACCATACAAAAATGTTACAATTATTTTTACCTATCAAAAAGTAATTTATGGGCGCGTGGCTGGGTATAGACCGAGGCCTTATCCTTACAGTAATTGAACAAAGACTTCCTTACTCACCCACATCGACCAACTGGCAGAGGAATGCAATCTCTTTTGTGCAGATTTTGACAAGCTGAGAAACAGAAACAGAGTCCCGCATTTCTACTGCACAGGAAGCAAGGCCCAGAATGCTGACCTCCTGGAAGACCTGCAGTGTATGGTGCGAGGCTTGGTTGCTAAGGTGGATAATGCTGAGAACCGTCTGAGACGCAATAATGTGCTGGTTCTAGGCCTACCAGAAGGAGCGGAGGGGGATCACCCTGCCGACTCTTCTGAAACCTTCAAATGATCTTTTTGGCCTGCAGAGGTCTCTACCTATGTCCCCACAGGCCGACGTGTTCCCAGAGCCCCAGCTGGTCCTCCCCTGATGAGATTCCTCAACTATCAGGACAGAGATCGCATACTCACTGAGGCTAGGAAAAAGCCCTCGCTCGCCTATGGAAACACCACCGTCCAGCTCTTTCCTGACTTCTCCGCTGAGGTACAATGAAAGCACAAGACCTTCATGGATGTTCGCAGACATCTTCGGGAGAGGAACATCACCTATAGCATGTTATACCCCAGCCGCTTATGGATGTGTCATAATGGTCTGGTGAAATTGTTTGATACATTGGAGGACACCAATGCCTGAATTCTCACTTTGCGGTAAGAATGTCCTCCCTCTGAGATCCATGTTTGCTCCCTTGGATGCACTCCCTGCCTAGTTACTCTATTGACTTCTTGTTCCGTTGGGGAGGCAAATCTCTCCTCCAATTTGTGCCTGTTGTAAGGGTTTCTGCCTTTCATAGCAGGTTCATTTTCTCCCAGGTTGGCTTCCTGGATCATTTAGGACCTGCGCCATATGGCAATCTATATATCCTATTGCTGTCACCTCCTGACATAGGGACAGAAGGAACACTTTGAAACTTCCCCTAAAGTGGCCTGGAGGCCATTCTTCATCTGCTGCTTCTGAACTTCGAGCTGATGTTTAACCTATTCTTTGTTTTTCTGTTTTTTGGACTTGTTTTTATTGTTCTTCTGTGCTCTAACTGGTAGTACTACTTCATTTAGAGATGAGACTTACTGGCTCTGTTACCTGGTTTGCTGGTCGGTAGGGAGTCATGGGATTTACTGTAATTGTTGTTTGCTCACATGACCAGTCTTGCCATGTTATGTGCCCGGCCTGTTCACCATGCTGTCTTATGAGGAACTATTTCTGTGTAATTACTGGGGGGGGGGGGGGGGGGATCCTATACTGAGTGTTGCATCCTCTGCTTTAACCTTCCTATTCCACGTTGTTTATGGAGTGTCAGGTAGTGTCATTAAATATACATGGTCTCAAGGACAAGTTAAGAGGTCCCTAATGTTTAAGTACTTCCAATCACATAAATCGTACATACTCTTTGCAAGAGACCCACCCCATGGGTAGTAAGATTCTTGCACTTAGACAATCCTGGGTCAAGCAGGCATATCTAGTTCTACTATTCTAACTATGCACAGGGGGGTGGCTGTTTTGATAAATAACTCATTACCCTGCTCGGTGGACCAGGTAGTCACTGACCCAGGAGGGAAGTATATCATTTTGTTGCTTACTTTCAGGGACTCGGTTTGTGCCTTTGTGTATGTCTATGTACCCCTGCCATTTAATGCCTCCATCCTTTATGAGATTTATGGCAAAACTGAATTCACTGCAAATAACCAAGGTTTTGTTAGCTGGGGACTTCAATAGTATTTTGGATAGTTCACTGGATACCTCTAATCCCCAGCGGGTTCCTAACCCTGATCTGTCCCTCTGGGCAACCTCGCTGGAGTTGACTGAGCTTTGGCGCTGGAAGCACCATGGTGATAAAATTTACTCTCACTTGTCAGCTACTCATCACTCGGGGGCACGGATTGATCTGGCTTTTGGCACAGCACCACTTTTACCCATGATTAATTAGGTCCCCTATTTACCAGCGGGACTATCGGACCATTCCCCATTGGAGATTGTCCTGACCCTGAGTGATTGTAGACAAGCCAAGTTATGGCATTTGGACTCCTGCTGGATTAGAGATCAAAGTGTTGTGGAACACATGACAGGGAAAATTGCCTTGTACTGGGTATTAAATGCTGGTATAGCTCCTCGGCCAACAGTTTGGGATGCCTTTAAAGCCTCTACTCGGGGGTGATCTCAGTGATTAAGGTGGCCAGAGTTGCTGGTGCTTCCCAGACTGCTCAGTTGGAGGACAGGGTCTCCGAAGCAGAGGTTTGTTCGCTACTGTAAACTCTTAATCCTCATATGAAACTCTCTCCTAGGCCATTATGTATGATGGGATTTGTCCATACATTATACTACGCTAACTAATTCAGTCCGCTAGGGAAAGGTTTTTTTTTTGCACACGGGGCTAAAAATGGCAAACTTTTGGCAAATCTGGTGGTGGATCCCAAATACCAAACTGTCATCCCCTCAATTGTCATGAGCTGTGGTACTGTTACTACTGACCCCTCTGCTATTCTGCAAGAAGTCCATTCCTTCTTTGCTAAGCTATATGCCAAAGTCCATACCCCTACGGGTGAGGAACTCCGTACTTTCCTCCACTCCTTACCTCTTCCTATTGTTGTCACCTGATGAAAGTGCACAGTTAGACTTGGATATCACTCAACTGGAAATTGAGGCCGCTATCCACTCCTTTCCAGGCCAAATAACCCCTGGACCGGATGGTTTGCACGGTGAGTGGTATAAAACTTACACCCCAGATATAGTGCCCCACCTTCATGATGTATGCTTGAAAAGTTTCCAAGAAGGGGCCCTCCCCCCTTCCATGTATCAGGCCTATATATGTTGCAGCTATGCCCATCAAGATGGGGACAAGGTGCTTTTTGGGGGGAGACCCCTACCCCAAAGCACCTCCCCCTAAGTTGAGAGCATGTGGCCTGGTATGGTTCAGGGGTGAGGGGGGTGCTTGCTCATCTCCCCCCCTTTCCTGCCCTGTTAGGCCTGTGCACGGATCAAGAGTCTGATTTAGGAATTTAGGGGGGACCTCATGCTTTTTTTACCCCACTTTTTGATGGT